CTGAGTGCTGGGATTAAAGACACAAATTACCTCCACCCCTGAGAAACAATGTTCTAATGAGTGGAGTCAGAGAGTAAATTAAAAGAGAGTAAATTAAAAGATTATATATATGTAATATAACAATAATCAGAAAAAGAGGTATTAACTGGTTTTGATAGCACAGACCTGCAATTTAGCAGGCACAAGAGATGAATAATGAATTCAAAGCCTGCTTAGGCCACAGCGTGAGTTCAAGACCATCCTGGTCAACCTAGTGAGATCCTATGTCAAATAAACGGTAAAAAGGAAGGCCAGTGTGATGGTTCAGTGGGCAAAAGCCTTTGCCACCCAGCCTGAGTTCTGTTTCTGGGACTCACATGGCAGAAGAGATTCTCCTCCGGTAAGTTGTCCCCTGACCCCCACACTAGCACCATGAACTGGGACGGGGTGCTGAGTGAGCATTCACATGTGCACACAAAATTAATTAGGTATAGCCAGACATGGTGACACACACCTTTAATCCCAGTACTCAGGAGGCAGAGGTAGACAGATCTCTGTGAGTTCGAGGCCAGCCTGGTCAAGATCCAGGACAGGCTTCAAAGCTACACAGAGAAACCCTGTCTTGAAAAACCATAAATAAATAAAATAATTACATATAATTTTTAAAAAGTAAGACTGGAGAGATGACAGGTCAATCCTGAAGCCCCAAGTTCTCTCTCCAGGACCCACACGATGGATGGAGATCCCTGTTAACTGTTGTCAGAGGGTTTGGGATGATAGGATTTACTTATGGGTGTGGTGTGCTCTAAGAAAGAGCTGTGGGAATGGATCTCACTTGGAACACAATCTACTTTCTTCCCAGTGACCTACGAGACCTCCCACCATAGGGGTGGGTCCTTGCTCATCTCAAATTGTCTCACTTCTCATTCACTAACAGTAACTTTTATTTTTAAGATTTAGTTTTAGATTTATTTATTTTATTTTTCTATGTATCAGTGTTTGCTTTCAGGGGTGTGTGTGAGCCTTCTGCGTGTTTGGTGTCCACAAAGACCAGAAGACGATGTCAGACTGTGGGCAGTCCAACGTGGGTGTTGGGAACCGAACCTGTGTCCTTTGGGAGAACAGGGAGAGCTCCTAACTGCTGAGCTACCTCTTCAGCACTGGAATGTGAACTTCTTGAGAAGATCAGTGACTTTGCCTTTATTCTCAGAGCCTAGGAGAGTGCTGACTGTAGGCGCTCAGTCAATGAACAAAGACATTGATCAAACCCTTCTATTCCAGGACAGCTTTACAATTTACAGGCATTCAGATAAGCAGGCATAGAAAAAAAAGATATTCCACACACCCTGTTGGTTATCCACATCCCTTGGGAGGTGGAGGTGGTGGTGGTGGTGGTGATGATGATGGTAGTACAAGACTAGATAGATGGTGGAAGAAGCCCCAGCTGGGAACCAAGCATCCCCAGAATGGAAAGGGAGGATGCTCTGGAGGGATGCCCAGTCCCTCCCTGTATCCCTAGCAACCAATGGGTGCGCCATCCTCCCAACGGCCCCTGGGACGTGTAGTCCCTGCAGGGGCGCCCTCGGGCGCCGCTGCGCGCCCCTAGACTCCAGGTCCCGTCGTGCGCTGGGAGGCGCGGGGATTGGCTGAGCCCCGCCCCCGGCCCGCCCCGCTTCGCTCGCGCCGCAGCCCCAA